TGGGATAAAGAAGATGAAGATGCAGATGAGGGAGGTGAGGGCTCAAGGTTTCTGGTGGGGCCTGAAACAAAAATGTGATGTCTTTTGGAGCACTGGACTAGAGAAATGTCTTATTTTAAACCAGGATGTACTAGAACTACAAGAAAGATGATGGCTCACTTGAAAGTTAAGCCACCAGAAGGGGGCAAATTATTTTCACTTTTCCTAAATTCTCTTTCCCACCTGTATTCTTCTGAAATTGATTTGTGACTCAACCAGAGGACCCTTAGATTGAAAGAAGAGTCTGGGCTTGCCTCTTTGTTCTGTTGAAGGATAGTGAAGCTTGTTGTTGGGCCTCTTCATCAGAAAGGCTAGTTGGGTTTCTCTGGTGCTGGCTCTGAAGGTCACCTGGTAGCACCTGATGATGTCAGGAAGGGTCTCTCCAGGCCGGTCCATTCAGGGAAGCAGCTTGCTCCGATCCATCATCTTTGTGGCATATATATTTACTTTACCCTTCTTGGCTAGGGATGGCTCAAGCCATTACATGACCACAAAATGGAAATCTGGAAAGAGAAGTGCTCATCTGGCTTGGCAGGTTTCCACACGTTGCGCTGACCTATAGTGCTTGCCCTTTGCTGGGCAGGAGGGACCTGGTCAGAGTGTTTGCTCCTTGAATCTATTCCTCGAAGGCGATTTGATGACTGGCAATATTCAGATCCGTTGTCCCCCTGGAGGTGGGTGGCACTTGCATGGGTATTTGAAGATACAGGTCTGCTGCTGAGACTAGACAGCCTTGGGGTTCATCTGGGGACACTCAGATTGGGATATGCTGCGGAAAGAGGTCAAGAGGGCAGCCTGCTTCACATGCCCAGCCGCCATTCTCGCTGCTGGCATTCTGTTTTCTACTTAGAAAGGAATTAAGCAATGCTATCATAATGTGATAGAAATTAAGGAAATATACTAAGAATGAGTAAATCCTCTAAAAGCAGAATTCTCAGATCTTTCTTGGAAGGTGCTTAATTAATGACCTTAAGGAGACTGCTCTGAAGCTTCTGAGCCTCTGGATACAGTATACCCATCTCAGCTGGGCACCAGAATCACCTGTGGAAACATTCCAAACCAAAGATTCTGCTTTACTGGGTCTGAGACAAAGGACTTTTTTTTTTTTTCAATCTATATATGACCTGGTGTAGTGGCACACGCCTTTAATCCCACCATTTGCAAGGCAGAGGCAGGTGAATCTTTGTGAGATCCAGGCCAGCCTGGTTTACGTACCAAGTTCCAGGCTAGCTGGGGCTACAGGGAGACCCTTTCTCAATAAAAACAAACAAACAAACACACAAACATAAAGGTCTGTCTAGTTCTCCAGATGATTTTCATTTTCAGTCAGATTTAGGAACCTGCCAAACAGCTGCCATTCCAGGGAAGTTCTTTCCATGACTCAGGTAGACTATGCCTTGTTTCCTCATACTGGCCTTAGCCTTCCCTACCCCCAACCTTAACCATCACCACATACTTGGCCTTTGGTCTTTAATTCTTTAAAGCCCATTCCATGCTGTGTGTGCACACATGCATGTGGAAACCATCCAGGTCAGTGATGGGTGTTTTCCTTAGTCACTTATATCTTATTTTTTGAGCCAGAGTCTTTCGTTGAATCTAGAGCTCACCAGTTCAGCTAGGCTCTCTGGCCAATGAGCTCTGGGGATCCCTCACACCCACCCCATGCTAGGGTTATAGCAGCTGGCCACCGAGCCTGTGTTTTTGTGTGTGGGTTCTGGGGACCTGATCTCAGGATCTCATGCTTGTGCAGCAGACACTTTGCTGACTTGAGTGTCTCCCCAGGCCCCTCTTCCCCTGGATCCATTTTTTAACTGCTCTTTGTGCTCAGTCCAGGCTGGTGGTTCATCTCTTTTTGAAAAATGAAGAAAATTGCACTTGGGAATGTGGATGAGCAGATCTTCTATGACATTTTCTTATGAACATTGTGCTTAAGATTTGAATGCATGGTAGTGTCTGGAAATCCAAGCTTTGGGATGGGAGGTTTCTCAGTTTTATGACTGGCATGAGGAAAACATCTCATTCACTCCCTTTCCAGAGACTTTATGAAAGGCTCAGGGTTTCTTCTGGGCTTTTCTGGGGCTCTACAGACTCTAAGAAATACTAACTTTCCCACAGGGACTCATAACTAGGCATTTCCTGGGAACGGGGCAGAATTGGTGGTACTCTTGATGCTGACATTGGTGAGCTGCACATCCAAGAGTACACGTGCAGAGCTTTGCATAAAGTCCTAGCAACTGTCTAGTCATGTGATGTAAAGCAAGGGTTTGGATTTTTTTAATTTTTGTTAAGATCAGCAAGGTATAAGTAGAGACCTAGACTAGACCAAATGGGAAGGCTGTCCAGATGTCCTAGCTTTTGTCTGTATTGTCCCATGCACTGGGATCTGCCTCTTCCTTTTTTGTCCCCTCTCCCATCCAGGCTTTGGGATTTGCTCAGTCCTGTCCATGCTAAGAAGCGTCTCTGCCTTTGCTGCCCTCAGTGCCTCTGCTCAGTGCTCCTGTAACACTTGAGCATGCCCATTTGGAGTGTCTGAACCTGGCCTTTTCTCTTTTGCTCAGCTAGAACAATTTAAAGGCTGTGTTGGCATTTGTATCTCTGTCGTTTCATGCTGTCTGATCTGTAATAGGGTTCAGTAAATGTTTGCTGAGTGGACAAATCAATAAATTCTTCCAGGGAATGATATAAATAACTCCCACAGTCTTAAAGTTAAACATTACCTAGTCAGTCCCCCCCCCCATGATGTTGCTGGAGATAGAACCCATGATCTTGCACATGGTAGGCAAGTGCTCTACCACAGAGCTACATCTCCAGCCTTTTTAAAAATTTCTTTTTATTTTATTTTGGTCTTTTTGAGACAGGGTTTCCCTATAACCTCAGCTCACTATGTAGACCAGGCTGGTCTTGAATTCACAGAGATCTGCCTGCCTCTGCCTCCCGAGTGCTGAGATTAAAGTTGTGTGCTACCACACCTAGCCCTCAGCCTTTTTTTTTTTTTTTTTAAATACTAGGTCTTAATATGTAATTCAGTCTAGCCTTGAACTTGCTCTATAGCCCTGTCTGGTCTTGACTGCTCTCTTTTTTTAAAAAAATATTTTATTATTTTTTGTGTATGAGTGTATTACCTGCATGTAGGTAAGTGCACCTGTGTCGTGCAATGCCCACAGCAGACAGAAGAGGCCATCGGATCCCCTGGAACTGGAGTTACAGACAGCTGTTAGCTGCCATGTGGGTGCTGGGATTCGAACAACCAGTGTTCTTAACCACTGAACCATCTCTCCAGCCCCTGAACTCTCTTGAGTACTGGAATTACAGGTGTACCATACCAGGCTGGTTTGTTTATAGTCTTATATTTAAGGTATATATTAAGGGAGATTTCTCTAGGATAATGAGTGTTCCAGGGAGTTTGAGACATTAACTGAGCACTTTCGAACTTATAGATGCATGAGATTTGTGAGATTTTTCTTTTTGTAATTAAAGCAGTGAAATTATTTTTTTAAATGCCCTAGTAGGAAATAAAGCCTTAGGAAACATGATATAATATGCTCCTATATTCTTTGGTGACATATAAAGGAATGGTAATCATCATGGTAGGAAGTGGGTAGGATGCTTCAACTGTGTTCCCTTTACTTTATTTAACGCTTCTCTGATAGATAAATGTTAATTTTGATACACATACTTGTGTGTACTTATTCTGTTTATTTTGCATAAAATAAACAATGAATAATATTATTCACTAAGCAGTGAATAATAAGAGTCCTGATTGTCAATCAAGAGATGGAAGTTCTAGAATGAGCTCTGCTTCTAATCATAGGAGTGGGCAAGTCAGGGTAACTGGAGGCAGACTTCTCAGACCTGTGGGATGTCTCCGTATATAAACATTCTTGTCATGCAAGCCCAAGGGACTAAGCTTGAGCTCCAGAACCCACAGTGGAGGGAGAGAACTGACACTTGGAAATTGTCCCCTGACTTCTACATGTGGATGCTCACGTGCTTACCTTGTGTGAAATCAGTGTGTTGTACTTCTTCAGGACTTGCAAATATGTACAGTCACTAGGCTCCCAACAGGAATTACTATATGTATCCAAACATTATTTTTTTAATCTGAAGGCTTGGATTTTTTTTCCCTTAGTTTTCCTACTTTGTTGGAAATACAAGTAGAGGAAAATATTTCAGTACTTCAAGAATATCAGAAGGACTGAAAAATGAGTCAATTCTCTGTGCTGTGAAAACAGAGGTGTGCTGGGGACTGGAGTTTTGGAGCAAGCAGGTTTGCTTGTGAAGGGCAACTGCTTCTTAGCACCAGTTCAGTGCTGCCCAGCACGAATGTGGACTGTGTTGGCAGATCTTCTTGTTTGTTTGTTTTTTAAAGAAAATCTAGAAGTCTGAAATTTTAAAAATTATTATTTTTATGTGAGTGTGCATGTACGTGTGTGTGTGCGTGTGTGTGTGTGTGTGTGTAGGTCAGATGACAACTTTCAAGAGTCAGTCCTCTCCACTTTGGGTTCTGAGGCTCGAACTTAGTTCCTCAGGTTTGTGTGACTAGAGCTTTTACACACTGAGATTTTCTGTGACATCCCACAGTATTAACTTTAGGCTCAGATGTCCTGGACATATGCTGCAGATGGCATGCATGTCCTGGACGTGCTACACCCCTGTGGGTTAGATGCAGCTCTTGCTTTCAGTTTGTGATCCCTGTTGGAGATGATCTCTAAAGGTCCTTTGTGCCCAAGATCTTTGTGCCCTATCACTCTAATGGGGACCATTTCTGCCTGTGAACTGACGATTCTTGATCTATTATTGGAAGTCAGGCTGGGCAAGAGAGTCTGGCTGGAAGAGAAGCATGGGGGCTTTGGGCCCGAGTGGGGTGCCAGGCAGCTGGGGAAGCAAGGAAGATGGGCTTCCTTGGTTGGTAAGGCCATTGTGCTTGGGATTTATTCCTGGTGTTCTGTTTGTCATTTCAGGAGCTGACGTCGGTTAGAAGAGTTTGAAACCCTGCCTCTGCCCAGAGCTCCAGGATCAATGCATCTTGCCACCGCCCTAATCTACTGGTGAATGCATAGTTTTGTTTTTCTCTCCTACTGCACTGAAGGGAACTGTTTTCAGTTGATTATGCACTGGGATTTGCAGAGAATTTTGCTGTCTTTTCTCCATAGGAGAAAGGCTATAGACTGGCTTTTGGCATATCTAGGCTCTGATACTGTAATCTAGAATAATTGTTCGACCTCTTGGGGTCCCAAACAGCAAAAATGCATCCTGTCCTGTTTAAACTACATGCTTGCTTGCTTGCTTTGAAGATTGAAGGAGATCATGTAAGTGAAATACTTCAAAGAGAGTGAAGTACTTGGAAGATACAGTGTAGTACTGTTGGGCTTTGAGATGTAGCCCAGCACAGTCCCGGTCTGCCCCCCGCCCCCACTTTATTAACTTCACTAATGCACTTTTCAAACCTTCCCCAGTGTAGGAAGAGATAGCCGCTGTGCCAAGCCTAGTGCAGCCCACCACTGGATGGGCCTTCCTGCCTTTGTTTTTGTGATGTTCATAGACATCTTCATGTGCTAATCCTGTGAGAGCAGGCTTTTAAAGCAGGCCACATCTGGGTTAACCAGTACATTAGAATGTGAACATTATTCTCCATACATACAAGTTGGAAATGTAGGTTTTAAATACTTATTTTCCAAGACCTCTAGGGTGATTCTTTAAGAGATTTGCATGAAATTTTTTTTGTTCCTACTTCTCTCTCTCTGTTTTTTAAAAGATGAGTTAATTGCATTTCACAGTTACCTTTATGTTTATACCTGATCAAATAATTTCATGCTTAATGAATGTTCTTTGGGAGAAACTGACTCACCACAGCAGGTAAATATCTTGCCTCCATAGCAGTTAAAAGAGGTAAAAATATGTACTTGACAATCTTGTGCTCAATGCTGAAATGAGAATTATCTCTCATAGATGATAGTAGCATATGTTGAAGGTCTTGTGTAAACTTGTAGGGGAAAGGCAATAGGAACCAAGGAGGCTTTGAGATTCTGGCCATTTGGGTAGAGAAAAGCATGCCTGTTTAATGTGACTGCTTGGTCAGCTCTTACCATGTGAATTAGGTACTCTTGTGACCCAATGAGATAATTCTAGTGAGCTTGCAGGGGAAGCTTGCAGGGTGTTATGGTTGGAAGGAAGGGCCATTTAGTTGGGACAAGTAGGCTCTGGGTTGGGGACCCAACTTACCCACAGAGGCTGGCTCTCTAGACTTCTCTAAGAGGACCTGGTAGGCATTCTGGGTATTGCCCTAAATTGTGTCTGGAAAGAGATTTGTAGTAGAGTCTTCAGGGAAGCAGATGGATATTTCATCCAGCCAGCAAACATGCGCTAATACCTAGTTCACACCAAGGAACTGTTCTGTGCAATGGAGATTCTTTGGTTACAAGGTGGACTTTGTGTTGACTTCTCTCTGGAGCTTAGACTGAGCAAGGATGACAGATAAGAATGTGAGCCCCACAAGGACTCTGATACCTCATTGCTATTCTATCTCTACTTCTTAGATACCTTGAACCTCATGGGTACTTACTCTGTATGGTTTGTGAAGGAAGCAAACACCTATCTACATAGGAAATACAAGGTAGGTGGTAATAAGGGCCATGAGAAAATAAGGCAGGATGAGAGAGGAAATGGGGGAGAGAAAAGCTGGAGAGAAGGTGGTTGAGTTTATATAGAGAGTTGAATGGAGTAAAAGAATCTGGAGAGAAGTGTTCCCAGAGGGAGCAGTAAGTGAAAAGCAAAGCCTTTGACGTAGGCTGCACTTGGCATGATGGAGGAGCAGGAAGGTGGCTAGTTTGGCTGGACTTCAGCGGGAGGTGGTTTAGGGAGGAAGAGTGATATCAAATGAGATCGGGGTGTAGGTGGGAACAAGATGGTATAGGCCATGATAAACAGTTTGGGTTTTACTCTGAGTGATTTTTGTATAAGAGTTGATGTGATCTTGTGCTTTAAAATCATTCTTTTGGGTCCTGAATGAATAATAGACTTTGCAGGCAACAGGACTTTTAGCTTAACTTTTGGGAGACCCTGTCAGTTGTCCAGACAAAGGACAGAGGTGTGGCTTGGACTACAGAGAGATGTTAACTGTCCAGGCCTCAGGGTATGCTTTGAAGATACCTTCATTGTGGGGTATGAGCAAATAGAAGACTCAAAGATAAGTCTAGAAGTTTTGACTGGATAAGTGACGTCACCATTTATTGAGATGGGGGAACTAGGAGGGAGCTTAGCTGGACATGGTGGCAGACCCTTTTAATCCCAGCATTTGGGAGACAGAGGCAGGTGAATTTTTGTGAGTTTGAGGCCAGCCTGGTATACATAGCAAGTTCCAGGCCAGCCTGGGCTACATAATGAGAGAGACACCGTCTCAAAAATCAATAAATAAATAAAAATAGGGATCTCAAAAGTTTGATTTGAGGGATAAGAATAGCTCAGTTGGTAGAATGCTTGCCTAGCATGCACAAAACCCTGGGTTTGATTCCCAGCATAAATTTAATCCTAATACTTGAGAGGTAGAGGCAGGAGGATCAGAACTTGAAGGTCAATCTCAGCTGCATAGTGAGTTAGAAGCCAACCTGGGCCTATTAGACCCTATTTCAAGAAAAGTTTTGTTTGAGGGCTGGGCATGGTAGTACATACCTTTAATCCCAGCACTCAGAAGGCAGAGGCCTGTGGATCTTTGTGAGTTCAAGAACAGTTTTGTCTACATAGTGAGTTCTAGGTCAGCCAGGGCTACATAGTGAGACCCTATCTCCAAAAAAAAAAAAAAAAAGTTTTGTTTGAGCCGTATGACATTTGAGATATCCATTCAGCATTGTTATAAAGATGTAATGTTGGCTGGGGCTGGAAAAGCTATCTGTGAAGCTATCTGTTTAAAACTGGTATGGGATGAGATCATCTAGAGGGAAAAAAATGTGTAGGATTTTGACAAAGAAGGAAGGCAAAGGGTAAATTTTCCAAATAAAATCCTTAAGAAGTAAATTAAGGATGGTGAGATGGCTCAGAGGATAAAAGCACTTGCTGCCAAGTGTGACAACCTGAGTTTGATCCTTGAGACCCACCTGGTGGAAGGAGATAATCAATTCCCGAAAATTGTCCTCTGACCTCCACAGGTGCACCGTGGCTTGTACACACGGGTGTTCACATGTGCACATGCGCATGCTTGCACACATACAATAAATGTAATAATTCTAAAAGAAGTAAAGTAAGACATATGCAAAGGAATATGGTATGGTTCAACTTTATATAAAGATGAATTATACAAATGAGCTAATATGGTCTAAAAGTCATAATAAGTCCTTACCTTATATAAAAAGTTTTAAATACTCTTACTTACCAAAGCAAGAAAATTTGTTTTAGAGTTGTACAATTTAAAATCTGGTCTGTTGAGAGAATGATAAGCTGCATTTGTACAGGTGGCACATGCTGTGGTTTGGCTGCCAAGCGGAACAACCCGTGTCCTTTGCCAGTCACCTGTAAACTGATTGTTCTTTCATGGGCTGACACTTCCACAAGCTGTTTTTGTGACTAAGTTTAATTCACTGTTCGTGCACTTCAGGCTTTTTCATTCTATAATTATATTATCTAAGAGTGATGAACAGAAGGTTCCCTAAATGCAAAACATGCCTGAATGTCAGTAATTTTTCACTGAAAGATGTGATAAAATTCTCTGCTGAAGTTGGGGCTGGAGAGATGGCGGTTAAGAACACTGACTGCTTTTGCAAAGGTCCGGGTTCAATTTCCAGTACCCACATGACAGCTAACAACTGTCTGTAACTCCGGTTCCAGGGGATCTGATGCCCTTTTCTGGCCTTGGGCATTGCATGCACACGGTATACTTACATGCGGACAAAACACTCATACACATAAAATGATTTTAAAAAATAGTAGTATTGGGTCAATGAGATGGCTTAGCTGATAGAAGCTCTTGTTATGTAAGCCTGACAACCTGAGTTCAAGCCTTGAAACGCACCTGAGGGTGGAAGACCACTGACTCCACAGAGCTGTCCTCTGACACCCACACAATTCAAGTGCACACACAATAATAATAAATAAAATAAAAAAATTTAAAGTAGTACCTTTTTTCAGTTAAAAAAAGAGGAAGGGGGAGAGAGAGAGAGAGAAGAGAAGAGAAGAGAAGAGAAGAGAAGAGAAGAGAAGAGAAGAGAAGAGAAGAAGAGAAGAGAGAGAGAGACTGAGAGCTGTGGGAATTTGTAGACCATTCAGGAAGAAGGTCTCAGAGGAGCAGTTCAAGGCAGTGGAGTTTCTTTTTACCTGTGCCTCTTTTTACTTTAAGGTTTTTGCAGTGTGTATTCTTTTAGGAAGGATAATGATAGCATCCCTTTTGATTGCAATTGATGATCTGGAGAGTTTAAGTTCTGTTATCTTTTGATCTATAACTGTTCTAGTTTTGTCTTGACTGAAGTCATTGCCTGCTCACCTGCCCATTTGGTCTTTAAGTCTATCACCAACCCAGGACTAGGGTTCTTTCATTTGAGTTTCAAAGTTTTACATGTCTGGGGATATGTCCATCGGACCAATTCCTTCCCTTCTTTCTCTTTTTTATTTCTGAAAAGATATAAGGCTGTTTCTAGTCAGTATTTTATTTAAAGGCGTTAGGTGAACAAGGATTTCTGGTTACCCATAATCTGGTTTACAGATTAAGCCATTTCAGATGAACATCTCCACACCCTTTAGAACCAAATTTTAGTGTGGAACAGAACCTGAGGTCCAGAATTCATTGTAGCCAATCATTTCTAACTTCAGAGTTCAGGCAAATTAAAACACAACCCAAACTCACTTCCAGGCCTTGTGGTGGCTCAGGGGTTAAGAGAACTTGTTGCACATCCAGGAGGATCTGAGTTCGGATCCCAGTACTCATAACAAGCTGGGGTTGGTCTCATGCAGCACTGAGGGGTGGGACAGAGATAGGAGGATTGCTGGGGCTTGCTGGCTGCCAGGCTGGCTGAAAAAACATGAGTTCTAGGTTCAGGGAGAGACCCTGTCTCAAAGACCTGTGCATGCACCTGTACACAATGTATACATACACCCCCCCCCCGACAATCTCCACTATGTAGGAAAATGCTCAAAATTAAACTTGCAGAAGTTGTAACATCTGAATTGAGGTGGAACTTGTTGTCTAGAGCCCATGGTGCTGATCACACCTTTCTGTGAGGAGGGTGTATCATTGGGCAGTTTCTACAGTGTCTTGTGCAGAAGCATCTCTGGGGCTGCCACTTTGTTTTATTACCAGAGGTTCTATTAGCTACTTTCTGGCTAAAGTTCATTTTGTGCAGCATTGATGTTCTTAGATATTGATGTTTTTCTAAGAGATTTACACATCTGATTTCACACTTTTTAAACAAGCACAAAATTATGTCACATTTGCTGACCACGTGTCAAAACAAGATATTTTTCTCTATTCCACCTAATGACTATTGTGAGTACAGATAGAATGGAACATACTTCTTGTCTTTCCTTTTTTCCCCCTAGTTTGGAGAAGTAAACATTAGGTTGTTCTTGAGGTTGTCACTAAAACAGAGAGATTGACATCATCCCTACTGATGAGTGCACGTCATACGGCAAAATCATTCCAGTTGTTCAGGGACTGATTTAGACAGGCACCATCTGATGCTGATGGCACAGCAGGGCCCTTATCCCTCGGTTTCCTTGTCAACAGAGATGACTCACTCAGTGTCCCTCACTCAAAGACAATAGCTGTGCTCTGCTGATCATGACGTGGTTAAATAAAAAGTAGTTTTTGCAGTGGTATGCTTGAAAATATATGCATTATTTGTGCTTATTGAATTTATATAATTCAACTTTTGTTGTCATGATTGATTAGGTTGGTTCTTGGACCTTTTGGAGAAGGCTCATGAATCCCTTTAAGATGTGTGTATGTGTGTGTGTATTAATTTTTTTATCATTTTATGTGTATGAGTATATTGCCTGCATGCATGAAAGTGCACCCATGTCATGCAGTGCCCATGGAGGTCAGAAGAGGGCATTGGATCCCCTGGAACTGGAGTCATGGGCAGTTGTTAGCAGCCATGTGGGTGCTGGGAATCAAATCTGGGTCCTCTGCAAGAGCAGTCAGTGCTCTTAACTGCTGAGTCATCTCTCTCCAGCCCCTGTGTATGTACATATATGATTTGAACATAGAACACTTACACATTTCCAGGAGGTGACACTCACTCAGTTACACATAGTCACACACGCAGCCATCTTCTGATAGTTCTGTGTGGCAGGCACCCACTCTAAGAGCACTTTTCTGATTAGATGGAGCAAGATGGGAGAACACAGCTGTGCTGAAGGCAGCCTCACTTCAGTGCAATTTGTAGCTTCCAGAACTGTCCTGACATGGACTCAAAACCGGAAGTAGTCTTATATAAGTCTCTGCTGTAGATTTACCTTCATTCCTTTTGTTTTCTGAGAGCTAATTTCAGCCCCCACACCGCCCCTCCAGGTTCATTTATTCCCTCTTCAGTCCCTTCTCCAGTCAAGAGAAAAGCTTTTTTACATGTATATGCTTTAAATTATGTGGAGAGTCAACCTTTATTTTCCAGTGGAGGATATGGCTCCCTG